AACGAGGTTCACTGAGTGGTTTATTAAGGTCTTCATTGCACAAATATTCTCTAATTTGACAGTAGCTAAGTTCCAAAGTAATTTCTCTTTTTAATGCTGGCTTTTCCTGGATAACATCCTCAATCTCTGATGCTTCGGAGACCTCGTTTTTTATTTTGTGGCAGTAACCAGGCAGGGGGAAAAGCAATTCCTGATTTAGGTGATAGTGTCCACATTTTTCTCATCAAAATCAAACAGGGTCAGTTCAACCACTTTACATAAAATCCTATTTCCTTCCATGCCTGTAGTGATACCCAGCCATGCAAATATTTTTGGTTTTATTTGTACAAGTTCTGAGATAACGGCCTCTGAGATTTCTGCCTCCACCACAATACAATGGAGGGAAATGAAAGTTTATTTGTGATTAAAGTTGTTCCCTAACTTTAATGAACTTTTTCATCAACACATAAGAACCATAATGAAACACCAAATATCATCTAACAGTAAATCCTTAAAGAGAAGATATCAGAATAAATATGGACACATAAAAGTGCCCCATGCAAATGAGACAAACCAGTGCACATAAAAGGGTACAAATGATACAACACTTACAGTGTATCTAGTGTGCACTAGAAACGTTTAATTTTTTAAACGAGTAAACCTTGGTTTCTTTTGATCATATTTATTATTGTAACCATGGCAACAAATGTCCCCTAACCTAATTTTAACCGTATCCACAATGTTTCTCTAAAACTAACAAGGACATTTCTGTCCCTAAACCTTATCAAACCTTACCCACACATCAAACAACGTACGTTCTAATTTTGAAGATGTCGTGGTCCTTCATTAATTTTAACAATTCAGCAAAATCAGGGTTTGTCTCACTCTTCCAATGGTGGAGAATAGTCGTTTATAAGTGCCAATAAAGTCTGCCAATGTCCGGTCCAAATTCTCATTTGAATATACTCAGTGGTAGGAGAGATGTATTTTAATGAACACAGCTGTAGAGATTCTTTGTGGTGTATGCAACACTTTTGATAACTCATATTTCCAAAAATACAATAAATGAAGGAATGCTAATTTTTCCACGTCTGACTGTAATAATCATCCATTAGCCCATTTTAAATAATACAGAATTTCATTTGTGACTTGGTGGAATTTAGATCTGAAATCCTGGGCACATAAAACTTTCACACAGACAAACTTTCTGCAAACTTACTCTACTGAAAACATGTTTTGTAATTTGGGTCAATCAACCCTTAAAATATCAGTTTTAACTTCTTACTTTCACTGTTCGATTTACTGTCAATCATTATGAAAGCTTTTTTAAATGGGTTATCATATGTTGTTCAGTTTTTGTTTGCTGGATTGTGTTGTGCAGGATCACAGTTCAGATGAAACACAAGCTTCTCACGAATCTTCTGATGTTTGAACCGTGCAGCGGCAGATAGACAGACAGCCCCACTGTTAAGAAACAGAGAATCCTTTCATCAAATTTTTTGGTGGAAGTAGTCTTGCGCAATATGTGATCAGTTTGGACAGATGTAATTTTCAGGAGGCTTTTGAAAGCTCCAGTGTCTCTGTAGTGTAGGAATCCCCAGAGAGCCATGCTGCCTCAGAGGATTGGGCAGACAAGCAAACTGCTCAGCATACATGCTGGGTTTCAAAGGCAGGAATGATAACTGTTCTCATATAATGTTTGCTTAGAAGGAGAACAACGGCTATGTGACGCTGTACTGCAATTTCACTTTGCTTTAGGGCTGAAAAGCTTCTGTAGTTGGTAGCATATTTCCAGCAGAGTAGCGATAAATCAAACTGTCAATGGATTCCACAATTTCACCAAGTTGGCAGGCACAGACAGTGAAATCTTTCATGTCTTCAGCTGCCTGGCATGGCTGAAAATGCACTGTGAACATGTCCTCTCACTGCCTTTAAAACCACACTTATCACTCAGATGATTGGAGGCAGCTATTCTCTGACTGGCTGTAGTTAAAGCAAAACTGGACTGTGAAGTTGGAGCATTGCGAGTCAATAAACTCTACTGTAGGAGAAGTGATCTTCACTGCTACAAAAATGTGTATTTAGATCTTTAACTTAATTAAAAGATGAGTCTGAGAGTGTCAACCAATTAATTACCAGCATGTATAATAAGTGCCTACCTGCAGGGGACTAGCACAGCATTCTGGACCCTGTGCTCTTTTTATGAGCCCCTCCCTGCATCCAGGGCTATTTGTTATAGTGTCTTTGTGGGCCCTCCTCACATGAGGGCCTTGTATACTCAGTAACCACCCAGTCCGACACCCCTGGCTACTTTTTTATCCCTTTTGTTCTTGTTCAACTCCGATTGTAGGAGGACATGTGGTCACATAATCTGTATGTGTTGTAGTTTTGTGGATGTGTGTATTCTCGTTTAATTGTATGCACTTCTTGTATTAATATTAGAAAGTGGCCTGTGAGATTTTCAGTAATGCAACTCTGAAGACACTTTGAAGTAACCACTTGACAAACCTGTGGGGATGAAGGCCCTGAACACCTGCATAGATGTTTTCACTTATTCTGGTTGATCAGATCTCTGCTCTGGTTGAGTTATGTTGGAAATTGTGTGAGGTCCTTGAACCAATAAGAATAATAAAGTCAGTCTCTCCAGGATTTAGCTTTTTTGGATTGGATAGGATTGTTGCGGCCTAAAATGCCTTAAATACACAGCAGCTTTTCTGAAAAATTCCAATGAATGTTTCAGGCATTTTTTAACAATGAAAGTGCAAAAGCAAGTGAAAGTGAAGTAGTTAATTAAGTAAAAGTCAATGAAAGACATTAAAATCGCCTGTAGTTTGGACGCATGGCTTAACGTTTTGCGCAGGGGACTGCTATGATGGTGGTGAAACCGGCAGAAAACTTCTGTGATTGAACAAATTTGCGGAAAAGTGTCGCACAGAATTTACAGGGACTTCCTGGAGGGACTGTAAAGTGGCCCCGCCCTAAAGGGTAGAACAAAGCTCCAGGCCTTTTGCGTTTTTCACAGCCACCATAGTTCTCCTACATGCTTGGTTGAGGCAAGGCTTGGTTGCAATTTGCAATCTCACAATTAGAGGCCATTAAATCGTACACACTGGAGATTTAAAACAACCACGGGAGAAGGGGCGCAACAAGATGACATAATTAAATGAGTGTGGAAAACACGATTCATCTGAGGAAGGTTACAGTCTCCTTATCGCTTCACACAAATCTAACGTTTCTCTGCCGACATTTTTTGTCTTTGTTTTTCATGCACGTACTTAATGATTTATTCACACTCATTCTGCTTTTATTGATAGGCCTACAAACAACTTTTCCACCTCATCCAAGTGTGAAAACGTATTTACGATATTTCCAGATTTTTCCACATTTTCAGCGTTGCATATGAAAACAGGTGGGCGGAAACTCACCTAGTGACACCATGAACACTTTGCTGTGTGTGGGTGTGCTGAGAAGCTCCCTGGGGAGACTGTGAGTGTGCGTGTAACTGTTTGAATGTAAAGCAGTGTTTGTTTCCAGGAAACTTTCCCAGTCACCGAGTGGCTCCCCTTGATCCTCATGCACCTTGAAAGCAGCTGACACCTCCCAGCAGCGTATTTGACAGAGCAGTCAATCACTTCTGTCTGCTGTCACACAAACCAGGACGTCATCTGCATAAAACTGAAAATGCACTGAGCATGAATAAAGAAAACCTGTGGCTAATGTATCTGGAGGAATATAAACAGGCATCAGAGGGGGTGATTGATTGTGATAAGCGAAGGGAGGCTTTCCAGAGATAAGACCTTTTAGAGCAATTCAATTACCTTCAGGCACACAGGAAATGTAGGATGTTACAAAGTTTGATTACATCAAGGCTGATGAAAGGATGGGAGGAGATGGTTGAAAACAGGGACATTAACTGAGACATTATTTAGCTTGTGGTCATATATTACACAATCCTAGCTCAAGTCGATGCAAAACACTTATTTCTGCTATTAAAGTGCTTGGATTATTGTAGAACATTTCTAAGCAGTACAAATACAGACTTGGAAAGAATAAACTGTAGCTATCCATGATTTTTTTTGTCACAGCTACGGCTGCAATTAGTCACAGTTGAATGTTTTCTGTTGCCTAAGATAATCTGAAAATTGTTGACATTTAGCGCCAGCCCATACACTTTATCCTTCGACCGCTCCTGATTCCTGACAGGCTCGATATGCTCACAGAAAGTGAAGATGGGAGGACTACTGGAGGAGGGGGGATGTAATCAATATAAACATGAGGCAATTAGTGTAGCACTCATATTTCTTTAGGGAGGTGGGTGTAAAAACGTGGCGATCAAAGTGATGTCTGCTCCATGCAAGTCATTAATGAGGCACCGGAGCGACTACAGGGATGTATTGTTAAAGAGCCTTTAAGAAACCTGCATGGAATTAATTAAAACAGAATACACTCCGTCTTTCATGGACTTTACAATGTTATAGATCGATTAAAAAGTTAGCAGACGAGGAAGAAACTAGGACTGGCTACACACTCCCACATGGATTCTCTCTCATTTATTTCTGTTACAAACTGGGAGCGGACACAATTTCTTGACTGGTCGGCCACTTTGAAAGCAATTGAAATACACCAATTAACAGGATCTGGCAGGACACACAAGTGCTGGACCAAGTGGACAGGACAGAGTCCAAAAAGCATGATGTCAGCACTCATTTCGTCTACAGTCCTCATGAAACATGCAAATGAGGGAAAACAGGGATGCAAACATTCAAAGGTGCACACAAACAAACACAAACACACTGTTTGTGCCTTGTACACAACTGGAAATCATTGCTCGGGGGAAGGTGATATGATGTGTTTGGACTTTATGTATACCACACACACCTGACTAATTGGCTGCATCTGTCAACAGACAAAAAAGTGGTCATTAGTGCAACAGATCAGTAAGACATGTAGAAGACATAAGGAGTTCTCATTTAAGAGAGGACATGACTTGGACTGGATAAAAATGTCAGAAACAGGTGTAATTAGGTTCAATCATTTATTAAAAACATTTAAATGCAGGGTACAAAAGTCCTGTGAGAAAATGGATTTGAGCAGATATCATTGGGCTTCACCTGTGGGCTAGAAAATGATCTGAATGATACAACTTTACACAGACCACAGTAAAACTACAGCCAACTACAAGCCTGAAACATGAACACAGGAGACGAATCAGCATTATATCTAGTGTCGTTACGTAATACCAAACTTATGTTTAAAGAACTAATTGTTGCTCAGTTCTTTAAACCATTTAACAACTTGCCAATAATGAAATGTGATAGTTTCAGCAGATTGTGTTTCAACATGTATTTTTTACATTAAAAAGATCTGCTTATTTGCTTCTTGCTGTATATTAAATGTAAGGAATGATACCACGTCTTTGTGCTAAGTGTGGCGCAAGCTATGAACCTACCAACAACTAATGAACACAAACAGAAATGTAAGAATTACAATTTGTGGTTGTTGAGGGAGCTATGTGCTCTTTCTTTTGCTGCTATTTGTCAAGGAATGGTTACAGCTACTATAACTCTCCATAAACGGTTGTTTTCTTCTGTTTGTGTATAGAATATGTTAATAAGTAATTCTCTTTCTAGAAGTGTTTTTTACCTCCTCATCTTTAAATTTAGTGTAGAGTGGTACCGGTTTTCTCCTCTAACTCAATAATAAAGAGATGAAATAAGTGTATTTCTCAAAATGTTGAATTATTACAATAGCATGTGAGGTTCAGTGATCTGCTTATGCTCAGTGTGCGAACTATACTTCTTCACTTGTGGGGGTGTGATTGTGCCTCAAGCGAGGATTGATTGACTCATATTATGCTCACTACAAAACACAGCAGCGAATAATGCAACGATTCTGTGTGCATACTCAGTGGGACTAAGAATTTATTTACTTTTTTCTTCTTATATTTGAGTTAAAGGGAGTGAAGTTAATGATATTGCGGCACTATGCTTCAATGTTCAATAGCATGTGTGCCTGTATCTTTATTAAAGTAAATTAGATCACCCTCATGCATGAATCATGCATCAATATTAGCCTAACAGTACATATGATACACGATGATGAAGATACAGAAAGAAATGCAAGGCAAAAGCATATTGTCAGTATTTTAGCGATCGCCCAATATTTCACATATTTTGTTTTCAGAGCAGCTCATGACTTATTAAGGGCTCCCCTGGCCCCCCTGTAGTTTGCACCCTGCTTATGCTCACAACAACAAGAGGAAGAAATGTGGCTGCTGTTGGATTTAGATATTTGAGACATTACAATCTTGTAGTAGGCTCCTTAGAGAAAATGGTGCAATATGCGCATCAACTGACATATGTAAAACTGCAAATTTAGGGTGTTTTCCGGAGATTTTGGCCACTGTTTGTCGATTTTCCAAAATCTGTCTCAGCTGTTATCAGTTTTGAAGCAATATTTTGCAGCTGTGAGTAGCTCTTCCACTTCTCTTTCTATTACATTTCGGGTCAATAATGCACTGTAGTCTACATAAATAACACTCAAACATTGGTAGGACTACTGCTCACTGATTTATTTGAGTATAACTGATTTTGTAACTTTTCCAGCTGGCCAAGAGATGTTGTATGGAATAGTGACACACTTAATGTGTTATTTAAACAGCAAATATATGTCAGGATGAGTTTCTGTTGATGAGAAGACTATTTTGAAGGAGAAGGCTTTTTTTTAGCTTCCCTCCTATTCTATAATTACCAACCTAAGTGTCCCTGAGCTACGATAATGCTACATATTGTTGCACCATCTGGCCCTGGAGAGCACATCCTCCTGCAAATACGTTCCAGAGGTCAAACACTCTGCAAGAACAAATTTGCAAACACTGAATTGAATATATTCCAGTTTTTCTTGTTGACCTTGCTCAGTTAAGCTGTGCGCATAACAGAAAAACACTGATACAGGACAGTTGCCAGCAAAACAAAAAAAACACAGCAAAATAAAATCAAGTAAAGGTGGAGTAAGTAATTGAGGTCTGACACAGTCAGGTAACTGTAGTGAAAATGGAGGAATGTTTCTCTCTTCTAGATAAGGTAGACTGAAGTTTTTCTTCTTTTCCATTTACCCAACAGCTCATTAGTTTTTCTTTAGTTGTAAATTTGTGCAAATTACATCATGTCCATTACTCTCATGAAATTAAAGGAGTAAAGGACGAACATAACAACATTATCCAAGCTTACTTTGCTGTGCTGTGGAACATTTTAATAAATATCACAAAAGGCAAGACTTGGCATCATCTTGGGAACTGGATGACAGTTAGAAATAAGTAGTTTTTAAATGAGAGTGAGATGATAGGCTATTTAAATAAACGCCTGTCCACCCACTTCTGCAGTTAGTCCTGAAACTGAAAACGTCTCAGCCAACCCATATTTAAAGGGAAACTCCACTGATTTTGCACATTAAGGTCAGTTCACTAATCATGAGGAGTACTTCTCAGCCTTTGAAAACAGTTTTTAAAATGTCTTCTGCAGCTCTGGAGGAGCTAAGTCTTGTGAAGTATGAGAGCTTGGAGAACCCTGACTCCTAAATATTACATTTATATACTGATAAATGTTTTATGTAAGTTTTGAAGGAAATGTAATTACTACATATGTTAACTGACATTATTTTATTAATTAATATTAATATTAATAACTTTTTGTAGAACTTTTGTATAACAAGACCTGCATCTCTCCCTGGTCTTAACCAAGTGCTTTGAGTTACTTAAATATAACTATAAATTGTAGATCCTGCTTTAGTGGCCATGAGTGGATATTATAGGAAGAAAAAAAAAGTTGTCAGTGAATGTTTCACAGATACATGGAGTTGTGAACTGCAACTACACGAAATCCTACACATTGGACCTTTAAGTTTGCTGTTGTAACTTAGTTGTATATGTAGATAATTTTTAGGAAACAATGTTGAGACTATACAAAGTTATAAGTATAAGCCTGAGGTACAGATTGGTGGCATGGAGTTTGATCCTTACTAGAGATAAAAAGTCTCGATATCTCAGCTTTGCTTTTGACAATTCTTTCTTTAATCTGTCTCTTGTGAGTTCCCCAAATCTATAAAAGCGCATTGCTAAATTGCTGCAGTGCCCCTTTAATTTTCCATCCTGATACTTTATTCATTACTGAAGCATAAAATCCAGGAATGTGATCATTATTATTTCAAACTGGTGTTCATTTATGCAGCGGTTACATAAAAAACTCTCATGCTCACCGAAACTCCCGAGAACTGTCTGAACTCAGCACATCTCTGCTCCTTCACTGATGTTTCTAAAATCTCATGAGACGCCGGATTTGAGATGACAGCTCAGCTCCATTCATATAACATGAACACGTTTCACCAGGTTTCTCACATTCTGGTGCTGCTTACTCTGTTTTGTTTAGGAAGGAATTTAATCATATTACAGGGTTTTAGTTTCTCTTTAATCCCCACAGAGAATAAAAGACACAGAGGACAGAATCCACATCGGTAAAAAATAAGAACATTCACAATATATCTAATTTTAGCTAATATGTAGACAGCAAATGACAGAATAATAGTACATATAACCACTACTTATTTTAACAAAATGTACATTTCAATAACCTGCAATAATCCATGCAGCATTTTGATGTTATTTTACCACCGATAAAACGAGTGAGTTAGCTGTGTTAGCAAAAAAAAAACTTTCATTATAACAACCTCAGTGTTATATTACATTCTATGTAACTCAACACACACCCAAAGTTACACATTTCACAAGGACACTTGACCTCAAAATCAAAAAGGAAAGTGCTTTACAACACAAAAATAATAGTTAGACATGCACACAGGAAAAAGAGAAAATCAAATGAATTTTTAAACGTAAGAAAGCACTTGAGGCATTTAGGAAAATGGCAACAAGTACGCCAGTCAGGAGGGAGTGGATAAAATGCTACATAGTGAACTAAAGAGGTTTCAAAAAGTGGAGTCAGACAATCAAAAGTTCTTTCAAATCTGAACTCTCGACACCAAAACAGACAGTAATTACCTCGACTGATCATAGCAAGAAAAGAGCCGAAATAATGAGAGCGTTTTATACCGAGTAATGAAATTCACATCTTTGTTCCACAGACCTCGAGACAGAGACGTTTTAATCAGGACTTTTTTTAAAGCAAGCTCTGTTTTAAGGGAAGTGACCTTCAATTTGCTTTTCAACTTCCTCTCCTACCTCATTCCACTGCCACGTCTGTTACAGAGCAACTGAGGACAAGCAATGTTTTCTATTTTTTTTTTTTTCATTTGCATATATACAGCGAGGTACAGAGAGAAAAGTCTGTTTCAGGTTTGACGATGGCTGAAACCATTTCCAAGCAATCACCACTGCTTAGAACGTGAAATTAGGCCAGTTTAAATGATCCGTTCAGGCTGTGGATGAAAACAAAAGAACCAGAAACTAACAAGAATTCAGGGCAAAACATGTTATTCAAGGAATAGGTCAACATTTTGAGGGAAATAGGCTTATTCACCTTTTGGCGAAGAGTTAGATGAGAAGATTGATACCACTTCCAGATCTGTAAAGTAAACATGAAGCAATAGCCTGCAGCTGGTTAGCTTAGCTTACTGTAAACAGGGAGAATCAGCTTGTCTGGCTCTGTCTCTCATGAGATTCACTGTTTTACAGGTTATATTCTTTTTGTTTAATCAGTACAAAAACAATTCAGAGAGAAATGAAACCAAAGGTCAAAGTACAAAAACCTCATTTAATATCCCACCGAAATGTTTAACTACACTAATAACAAAAAATTAAGGTTTGGAACACGTTTCAACTGTACGTCATGTGGCTCACTTCATGTGTGTAGACAATCAGTATAGTTTTCTGTTTTTCAGCTCTAACAAACACCATTTCCCATCAATTTTACACTTTAGTTGGCTACATGTCACGACTCTACAAACGATGGGAGTCCATGAGCGAGTGGGGGGGGGGTCGCTGTTGGAGACGGCTGAACGGTATACAGACAGCAGGGATTACAACTTAACAGCTGACTTTAGAAATGAGTGTTGTTGAGCTTTAATGTGGAGGACACCTCGTTACAAGTCCCTTATACGTGGTTTTTTTTTGGGAAGATGTAGTTTTTTTCCTGCACTTTGTTAAAATCATGAAGGTTTCAGTTTTGTAATGGCAAGTGTTCTGGTGGATGCTGATTTGTCCTAGAACACTGTTTGTTATTATTAAAGAAATTATGAATACAAATATTTGTGTGTAACTTCCTGGAGTCTCAGCTGGTTGCCTGGCAACAGCTCAGAGCCAAGAAGCAGTCGGGCACATGACCACATGTAAAAAACACAAACTGTTGTTTTTACCAAATTAAATGAGATACAACCTTAGTTACTGAGCTTTAGAGGCACTTGTAGATGGATTTTGTTACCTTTGGTCAGAGTCAAGCTAGCTGTTTCCCTCTGTTTCCAGTCTTTGTGCTAAGCTAAGCTAACTGGCTGCTTGCTGTAGTGTCATATTTACCAGACGGATATGAGAGTGGTATCATCTTACTTCTCATCTCAACTCCCGGCAAAAAATCTACTTGAAATAAATAAAAATCAAAAGTATCCAATAGTTTATTTCCCACTCTGCTCACATTTTATTTTTCATCTTGTTACTTATTCACAGTGAAAGTGTCTACAGTCGTCTCCCTGTGAGCCACAGATGATTCATGGGAGCCTATAAAAGGGCGTGTTCTCCATAATGTACTGTATAATACATCAGTGGGTATTCTTCCAGTGTGTTCTGGTGGAGAACAATGGAGTGTTTGTTGATAATAAAATAACCGAGAGCACAGCCTGAAGCAGCAAAGAAATGTTGGCAACATGCGACCTGCTGCAGAAAAAACAAAACAAAAACACGCTGCACACAAACCACTGCATGGACAAAAAAACAAAAACAGTATTTTAAAGAAAGAAAAGGAGGATGGAAGATAAATAGAATGAAACATGGTGCTCTTCTTCCAGTTGTGAGTAAACGATTTAAAAACTAATCTTAAAATAATGCACCATAACACACCTGAAACAGGTCTCCCAGCAAAAACCTAATATCCTATCTTGGTGTGAGGCGATTTACAATTTATGGTGGATATACTGTACAGCAGAGGTAAATCTGATTGGTGAGAGCTGCCAGATGACTGCACAATCACAGGCTGAGTGGCGATGTATGAAAAATGTACATTAATCATGTAACATGCATGGCATACTGTTTGAATTAACGCTTCAGTATCAAGGACTGTTTTCCCACAGGAACAGAAAAAAAGTATAACTTCTAACTCTTTCCTGAGGCCCAGATCTTATCTACAGGCTTTCTGAACAGGAAACTAGTACCGAAAGATGTTTCTGTTTCACATATATCGTGTGGTGGACACTTTGATCCACAGCTACTCGCAGTGCTGGGCTGCAGCGTACCTCTCGAGCACATGTTGTCCCAGAGGAAATCTGAGCCATGACCCTGGCTGTGTTATGGCCGCCTCCTATCCGCTGAGCTACACTGGGAGGAATTTAAAATAGGCCGTTTTTACATTTTGATGACAGTCCCGTCAGCTAGGTTGACTTACAATGAGTTTCGAGGTGTGGGACAGGCTTTAGTAAGTGCTGAGCAAACCTTGCTTTGGCTGGAAAAACATAGAAAGAGTACAGATTTTCCTGTTCCTCAAGCAAAAGAAGCCAAACATGTTTCCAAACATACAGCTGACACACAAGAACCCAGTGGGCAGGATTTTGGTTATTTGCAGGTCAAAATAGACGTCTTGGTTAAAACTGGAATAAAGCTACAAACATTCCTCCAGATATTTATTTTTTCTGGACCATTTCAACCATTTCACACCATCTTCATCAGGAGAGTTGTTCATGGAGTAGTAAACATGCACGCACAGGAGCGGTATTTTATCTACAGCTCTTTTAGCACTTATTGTAATAACTAATCAATCAGGCACACTTATAGTACAGCAAACCTATTCCTAATGGTTCTTGCAGCTAACCACAAATCGACTTGGGGCCACTGCTGTGCTGGTATTGTTATTTCATAGGAGGGCCACTTCAGCGTTTTACAAGAAAACACAATATTCTGGAAATGTTCCCATAACTAAAAAGGCAGCTGTTTCTGTATATTTTTACATCATTATTTCATATCATATTTGCTGTTCTCAGACAGACAAATTAAGGCCCGAACCTGTTGGATTTCCTGCTAATCAGCACCTGATTATTTAAAGGCACACCTGATGGCAATTAAGCACAGAGCGAATCTAATAAAGCAAAAGGGTTTGCTCCTTTTTGTTTAGTTTTTAATGTCATAAAAACAATCTTAGTATCCTGGTGTGTGCTGGAATGTGTTTTTGTTGTCTGGTTTACTTTGGTTTGCTCTGCATCAGCTGGCACCCAGAAGAGAAGCACTGCTGTGCACCAGGTCTTTTCAACCTTTATTTATATATTAGTTGTCAATTCCTCACATTACGGAGCCCGTACGATTTATATTGTATATAGTTGCTAGAAACGCCAATTACGTAAATTATGCATAAATCCCAGAGACACCTCAATGCATATTGTTTATCCTTACATACAGCAGTTGCCTGTACAGAAGTGAGAGCCCCATAAAATATTCATTTATTGACCTGAAAGTAGTCAAATCTAGGCTGCACTGTAGCTCACCTGTTGGAGTGCACGCCCCATGTATCCTGAGTCCTTACTGCAGCGGGTTGAGTTTGACTCCAACCTGCGGCCCTTCGCTGCATGTCGTCCTCCCTCTATCTCAACCCTATCCTGTCAACCCTTAGCTGTCTTATCAAAAATAAAAAAAGGCATAAAAAGCTGCCAAAATATCTTTAGAAAATAGTCAAATTCAAACATTTCTGCGGCCTTCCCCATCCCGTGTATAGAGCCATGGGTACCAGCAGCGGCTCCACGAACCCCACCCCTAAAGAATCACCACCCTCCCCATGGCCTCCTGATTGGAGTAGCATCCAGCTGAAGCCCCTGACGTGACGGAAGTGACGTAGAATACCAGAAATTACGTTTTTTTGAGGATACGCTGGAATTTGAGGATACTCGCTGTCACTCCAATAATCTGTGCCAAATAATGGAGACATTTAAAAACAAAGTAAGCTTTGCTACGTCGATAATGTTGCCTAGCTAACTACGAGCTAACTAGGATTCTGCTAGTTTGAAGATAAAGACAAGAGAGGTTTGACGATATTAAACAGATGTTTTCATATATAATGAAGTGTATAGTAACTGAATATACTATTTGTTTATTGATTCTATTTTCTTCCTTTTGACAGTGAGTTGGACCTCTTTTAAATCTGCCTCCAGAAAAATCTGAGCGCAGAGGCCACCAAGAGGCTTCAGGACTTTGAAATAAACATGAGAAAAGCCCTCCAATCAGAAACATTTCTGAAGCGATTGTACATTTTTGTTGTTGTTGTTGTTGCTAAATGCAAGTTCTTACTGTACCTTTAAGGATAGATATTTGATAAAGATGAGCAGTTCTGGTCTCAAATAGTTTTATTTTTCATTCTGCAGAGGGATCAGTTCTTACACAGCATGTGGATTTTTGTGAGAAATGACACATCCGACTGAGTGAGCGAGGGTTTTATAGTATAGACCAAACAATTGGTTCTTTTGTTATTTATATTATCATTCCTTTTTTTATAGAAATGATATACATGGGCACGGAGGTCCTTTTCTGACTTTTTTCCCTATAAATCTGGATTTTCATGAGAAATTAGACTTAAATTTTCTTATTGGTCAGTGTCTTGTGGGTAAATTTATTTAACACAAAATTATTAATAAATAAATAAACACCTTCATTTGATTCTCTGATGTGCAGTTGCCTTGATGATCCTCTGGATCTTTACAGTAGGCTAAACCTGATCTAATGAACACACTTTTGTTATTGGTTACATCTATGTAATAAAAGGAAAACGTGTAGGCTATAATATCCATCGCTGTACATAGACTACAGGAACACAGGAAAGATTAAGATGTTTGACGTAATGGTAGCCTAAAGACCACGTTGAAATTACTCTTGTCAGTTTTACTATACGATTCATCATAATGGGAAGTAATGTTTTTTAATTTTCCGGTATGCTAGGTAAATGCTACGTCACTTCCGTCATGCCAGGGGCTTCTGCTCCGGGGCTGCAGCTGGATAGTATTGGCCTGATTAAGGTTTCTGTGCCTGCGCCGCGCCCACCTCATAGCCACTTCCCAAGCCATCCGGCCATCTTCCTTCGGGAGTGCAGCCACCGTCGCCTGCAGTCTCCGTGTTTCCAACCCGTAATGCTCCTCCAGAATCTGAAGGCTTGTGTGGGCCCATTTTTTGTACAGCTGACCGCTTCTTTCCTCCCCCGGGCTGCTCCCCTTCTTCCATGTCGCTTTCCCCTTCCGCCTTCGCCACTACGCTGCTCCCTGTCTGCGTCTCAACCCCGTGGCTGACCGCCAATGACATTGATGGTGCAGTTTCCAACTCCCGCCCCCAGCCAACCCTCTATCCTGGCAAAGAATCTGGGGGTACCCAGGTCCCCCCCTGACCTCCGAACGTGTCCCAAATGGTGCTGAACCTTCACCAGTTGAAACATCGCCCGAACCACTCTTTGGAACTCCGTCCTCGGAGGTTCACCCCCAACTGGTGTTCCTTGGTCATCTCTCCTATCCACCTCTCTTACTAAAACTGTTGTAATTGGCTTGTAAAATCCTCACCACACTATACAATTCAAACTCCCAAGTTGCTTACCTCAAATTCCTTAATGGTACAGTAGCTAGGCCAAGACATCCAAGAACCTGCCAGTTTTAAGGAACATGTCTTTTGACCTGTAAATCACCAAATCGATGCCTGCTGAACAGCTGAAAATGAGTGTGATAATAAACAGTACTGTGCAGTAGGAGTGAGATTGTGAAGCTCAGCTGCAGAACATTACAGTCGTCAGGGACCCTGTGCATCAAGTCGCCTAAATTAGAAGTCTTTGAATCCTTCCAGTCCTTCCCCCTGGGCCGCGGCTCTGACCGGGACACTAATCACAGCCTCGGGGGGGGGGGTGTCACGGTCACAGCCAGTGTGTGAGTGTCTCAGGCTCCACAGCTACCAGCCAACCTACACACCTCAGCACTTCACTGATTATTCTTCACTGTCCCGGAACAGATGCATCCAAACGTAATGGGCCCAACCAGGAGACACGCACGCTGCGTTCAAAGACAAATGGAAAGATGTGTTCACACAGTGATACTGTACACAAAGAGGCACAAAGCTGGATGAGAATGTGAGCTTGAGAGACGGAGAGAATCTTCCTCTGTCTCCATACAATGAACTGCAGAGTATATTGCAGGCACAAAATGATAATAGAATACAATTAACTTCAAATAGTTTCACTGCACACATAAATCTCTCCCTCTGCGGGGTCACAAATGATTTAACTCCTTCCGTAAGGATGGAGTTTCTAATTGCACATTGCTCTATGTGCTGTGATGCTCACATTGTCAATGGCACACTGTTAAAGAGCGTTAGAAACTTATCTCTGCAGAATAAATTAGCAACCCATCCGGACTTCAAGCCAACCGGACATCAAGTCAATGCCAAAATATGTCTCTTAATTCATTTTCACAGCATTAGAAAAGAAAAAAAGCTGACATCTTTAAGTTGTGTGACACAACCAAGCATAACAATAATAAAAAAAAAAAAATTCACATCTACACATCTAGTTTGACTGAAATCTGGTTTTTGCTTGCTTGCAGCTTCTGTTCCAAAAGACCTTGTTTGTTGAAGCTTCCTAAGACGGAGCCGAGTAAATTGAAAGCTGCCTTCAATGCTCCGTCAGTCCGAGATGAAGGCTTGAATTATACTTGTTATAGATTAATTACAGCTTGACAGAAGAAGACAGACACCCAGAGGAAGCAGAGTAGGCGAGCTCATCAGACGTCCATGGCAACGTGACTCGTCTCTGCAGCAGCTGAGCTCTCCTTCAACGACAGGCCTGAGAAAAACATTGAAATGCAGCCTCTGCGATGTAGAGCGCCTGCTGACACGTGAGCCGCTAAGGTCACTGCAAGTTGACAGATGGTTGTTTCTTATTCATGTTGTTTTCTCTGTTTTGTTTTTTACAGTTCGTCATGGAGGCATCCTTTGCTGTACTCACAGAGCAGCAAATGGATCAATTAGTCAATGAAGAGTGGCGCGCGGTGCACTTTCCTCAGCTCTCAAATTCAGGTGAAAAAGACTTAATTTTCAAGAGATATGTTTTTGAAGTACGGGTTGGTCAAACCTCAATTATAAGTCGGTCTGATTGAGCGGCGATTGTCAGAAAACAACAAAAAAAATGGATATGCAGTGTAATTTGTGCTAAAATTGATGTTTGTGTATGTTAAGGAACACGCTTTCTGTCAGTGTTGAGATTCAGCCGGTCCCCAGATGGTGATGACGATGATAATGACGTTGATGGTGTAGTATTTCCGCGTGGGTTGAGCCAGGGTCACGACAGCTGCCAAGGTGGGTTGAAGAACTTGATGGCATGAGTTTTGGCCCACTTGGCGAACACAGACTTCTCCGTGATGAAGCGGTGCCCGCCATAGGGGGCGCTCTCGTGGAGCATGTACTCTGCACACTCGTCCCGACTGCCTGCCTCGTAGTAGTGGTAGGGAACCTTTTTGTAACCCTCCGTCCTAAAGGGGAGAGGGAAGAAAGAGAGAGGTATAAGTTCTCTTTTCTGTTTATTAAAGCACCAATGTGTAGGATTTAGTGGCATCTAGTGGTCAGGCTGCAGACTGCAACCAACTGACTACCGCTGCCCCTTCCAAGCGTATAGGAGAAACTATTGTGGCCACAAAAAACAAGAAAGACCCCGATCTAGAGCCAGTGTTTGGTTTGTCCATTCTGGGCCATCAGTCAGAATCCAGAGAAGAGGACCGGCTCATTCTAAGGTAACAAAAACACGATTCTTATTTTCAGCTGATTGTACGCTAATGAAAACATACCTATGAATATTGCCAATAAATGCTTCTAAATTTTACACACTGGACTTTTGAAGACCAGAAACAGGTACCTTTTGTTAGGTTTCCTGTAGTGTTTTATAGTGGAGGCTCTCTGCCTCACCTGAAATAAATAATGCCTCTGCTAATGTCCCAAGAAATTAATAATTTCTCTTAAAATATGATATTATCACTGAAAAGGCATGTATTTATTGAGTGAGGTGACTGTTTAAACTGTCCTGTAGAAAGTAAATTGATAATGAGATGATGTAACAGGATCTTTCTGATTCAGCTCAGCAAGTGATTGGTTGAGTGAACACATTTAATCAGAATAGGAACAGATTTAATAAGAACAGTTTTTAATAAGGTTAAAAGTAACGTTTTCCTGCAATTATAATATCATGTTATGGACTAAAAAGTTAATACGTTTTTGTTTTACATATTTGAGGGACGTGGCCTCTAATGTAAACAGGAGAAAACAATTAATTGCTTTGAACATTTCACTCTTTAATAGGATTCTTGCCATGTTTTAATATTAATATGTGATAAGGAATTTAATCATATCATCCAGCTCAATTTAAGTATTACAGTATTTCTTGTGATTACATATGTTGTGTTATATAGATGTTTGTTGTTCTAAACATACAACACATGCTGTATGTCCTTATTACTCTTACTGTGCCGTATCAGTGTTAAGTGATTCTACTACTGGAACTGTAAATACAAATAATACATATAAATATATAATATAATATAAGTTCAAAAATGAATTTGCTTGTGAGATAAAAATTTAGAGCCACTGCATTTTTGTCAAGGTTTGGGACAAATTCCAGTCAGTGAATTACAAGAGTCCTTGGTTTTTATTGGCTCAGCTTTAAAAAACATTATCGGAAATAAATAGCAAGTAAATTATTAAACTATTAAACTAAAGATCCTTTAGGATGGTGTTCAGCAGTTTGAAATGATGCTGCCCCGAGCTAAATTCTCCACTCAGCAGGTTTCTCTCTTATGAAAAAACAGGAGCTGCTCTTGGCAAATGAATTCAATAAATACTCTTTTAACTAAACTGCATTTATCCGTAACCAACTTCATAACAAGATTCATTGCAACTCTGAGCCAAAGTAAATCTGAAAATATCCCCAAAAAACTGAGTAATGTACATGAGGAAAGTTAAGCCATTATGACCTGAAATTTCATGATGAGTCACTCTGTTTACAGTCTGTGTCTTCATATCATTAAAAGGAATGAGGAATCAATAAAAACTGTAGTAACGACGGAGCAGTAGAATAGATTCATTGTGCAATCTGAAATTGGTTTCTAATAGTGAGAGACTGCTTTATGAGAGGATGACTTGTGTAACAGTTTCATTGGGAGGTTGAACACAGACAGAACAGAAACAGGCAGCCAGTGGGTCCACAGCGAAAAAGCGAGTATGGCGGTCTGCCAGCTTACAGTAATACACAGCCCAATCACTGCCTTTCTTCACTCTGTGTCACACAGTGGTGAACACCAGAGATAACACATACATTCAATTTCATTCTCTCTACAGCACCTGTTGAAGCTCCATTACCACACAACTGGTGGGGTCAATTTACTAAAGCTTCAAACATTGTCACACAAAACATAACTTCTTGTTGTTGTACCGGAGCAGTCGGGTGCCAACAGTATTTTGTGTGACACTAAATTGTCCATTCAGAAAGTCAGTGAAACACAATATCCTCCTGCCTCATGCAGGAAGGAAGAAAATAAGTGAGAGACAGGCAGGGAGAGAGCAACCCCTTAACTGCCTCACTGAATCATAAAATCCTCCGTGCTGGCTGAATTATCACTCCTCTCTGTCATGTGTCTGGGGCTGTTTATATTCCAACTCCCGCTGTGCACGGGGAACACGGAAAGGATAAAAGGCAGGATTTTCATCGCGCATTAGGTAAAAGTGTTTGATTTGGGGGATAGAGAGAGCTCAGGTTGAACTGAGACGTAAGGAAGAGAGGAGGCTGACACGGCTGAGGCTGAGACTGAGCAGCCATGCCCGGAGCAACAGCATCTTGTTTGTCATCCCTCCTATGGCCTCGCAGCCAGACAGTAATCACTCACCCAAGAGTCAGAAAGAAGACGACAGGCCGATATACAAACAAAACTTTAAGCAGGGGAGGAATTGGGTGCTACAGCCTAGCCACCCGCAGCAACGGGAGACTCTGCAGCCTGCTGGGTATTCTAGGCAGGAATACATAATGGTATTCACGGCACAGAGAACCCAATATGGATTTCAGCATAGAAATTCAGCCATTAAATCCAAACTGAGCCATTGGAAATGAATTCCAACAGGGCAGTCCACAGTTATGGGAGGCTGCGATTGGCCAGCACTGCTATGAATGTGAATCTAGTTTTCAAAGTTTTTGTAGGACTGTGTGCATTTTTCATCCCAGGGTGGAGGAGGGGTTGATACTTGGTGTCTTACTTGCAGTAGGTGTCATTTATCATGCCGTAGATATGGATCTCTTTGCACATGTCCATGGCCAGGATGAGCGTGAACCAGCCGGTGCTGAGGTAGGAGCCGGACTGGATCCTGGAAACACACAAAGACAAACTCTTTTATTGTAATAGTCATTTGCATTAAAATAAAAACAGGTAAAGCTTTTAATTAAAATTATTCTAACAGCTGTTCTTATTGTTGGTTACTCTAAATACAGATCTCAGCTAGGGATCAAAAATGTAAATTTGAATGAAATGTAAATGTGACACAATTCCAGGTGTGTAACCATATGTCTGACTTACTTTTATAGATCCATTTTACTATTGTGTATATTAATAGTTAAACAGGCTGTAAAATCCACACTTCAGTTTATATATAAAAAAGGTTAAAAGGCTGAGAGAAGAAACACTTTATTGGGTTGTTGAACAGCTTGCCACAACAAGCCAACAGCAGTACACATGTCATCCCCTGTGAGTGATGCAGGAACCCCTTGGGCCAATCAATAACAACATGCATAATCCTTTCATCTGACTAGTGGTGTATGACCTATCAAAGTTTAAAAAAAAAATCTAAGCTTTGATCATTTTCAAACACAGAACACACGGCTGAGAGGCATCTTCACTCGAGGTTTTGTCGAAACCAGACTAGTGAGGTTAGAAGTTGGTCATAAAGCGTAGACCTGCAGCCCCCGCAGGGCAGGTGGTCCCGTACTCCCAGAGGGCCCCCTGCCTTTCAGCAATGCAAAATACTACAAGGAGCCTTAGACCTTGAATAAATTAAGCAGAGTGCACAGCATGATACTGATAATGAGGGGAAAAAATGGCGGCAGCAACACAGTGTGAAACAGTATGAGCACAGAGATTATGGAGGACCACAGGTGCCATGTAAATTATATGGAAATTAATAAATACTACATTATTAGATATTTCATTATCATTGAAATGGACAGTTAAAGGAGCATTTTCAAAATAATCCACAAATTATAAAAAAAAACTTTTGCGACAATAGTTGATATGAAATTGGAAAGGTAATTCTCTTATTTATTTGCTTTTCAGTTAACCTGCTCCTTTTTGTTTTTGTTTTACTATTTACAAATTATTTATTTGTATAATCTTCTTAACTCCTATTTTTATTGTCCATTGAATATCAGGTACTAGAATGCTTTATTCTATTTTAAGATAATAATAATAATAATAATAATAATAATAATAATAATAATAATAATAATAATACTTCTTAAAATAACAGACAGATGTTTGGAGCAGGAAATCCTGTTTGCCACTATTTATCTTGTCATTGTTATCAGCAGGAATCCTGCCCATTATTGATGAAGTACCTTGGACAGCTCCTGCAGTCCTGGCTGTTCCAGGATCAGCACCTTGGACAGCGGTCAACACGAACCCAATGTTCAACATCTGTTTCACAACATTTCTGTCTCACGATTCCTCAGAAATAGAAAGAATATCTGCTTGTTCCCCTTCGTCACCTCGTGCGTTTGTCTGCCAGCTGTGACCAGTTCAACCAAAGAACAAATTAATATCTTTCAGAAGTAAAATTATTCAGTAATTCACAGGAAAACCAGACTAAAGAGCCCACAGCCACGCTAGCAGCTATGTGAGGTTGTATTGAGGCACAGCTGTGATTTGAGTTTCACACTAATGCCAGCAAGCTCACAATAAGGATGCTAACGTGCAGATGTTTAGCAGGTATAGGTTTACTGCGGTCACCATCCTAGTTTAGTGTGTTAGCATGGTAATCAGCACTAAACTTTAAGTACAACTGAGGCCGATGTCAATAGTTTTGCAGCCATTTAGCAATAAACCAACGAACTTTGACCTGATGGTGGCGCTAAAAGAAAAGTTAGGGGAATGTCTGTACAAAAATGAGTGTCTTTTGAGACTTTTCACACACAAAATTAGGGTTCATCGTTTGGGAATAATTAATGTGTACACAAAATGGAAATCCATGCCATATTTGATGCGACAGACTATCCAGCAGGCAGTACGACGGACCACCATCCATAAAGCCATGTGGCTGAAAAGCAAAGATTAGAGGAAAGTCTTAAAAAAATATAAGCATACTTTGCACAGCAGAATATTTTTTTCTCTGCTGTCCTATCCTGTTAATCATCTCTTGATCCCTGAGATTTGTTTTGCGACCCCTATGTTGGGAACCATTGTTCTAAATAATCTACTTGTACAGGATAGCAGGAGGACACTCTGTAGCTGTAGCTGATCTACTTATAATCATGAACCTTTGCAACACGTCATTGCAGATGAGAACATTTCTGTTCACCAAACCTTGTTGTGATCCAGTCTTCAAACAGGTAAAGTAAGAGACCTTGAAATCAGCTACTAGAAAACCTTCCATTTCCGCAGTTGTATGTGGAAACAAACAACTTATTTTTATTTACTATAAAACTCCTTTCTATCATTATATATATATGTGTGTGTGTGTGTGTGTGCTGTGCTGTGAAAGCAATTGGCTTATATAGTTTATTGAAGTTCATTTCCATTGCTGTAAGTTTTTCAAATGACATACAATAATGAATTATGATTATGTGCTAGACCCTTTTTGAACAGGAAGAGACAGCTAGGGGTGGATGATTGCCCTGAGATGGGTCAGGATAAAAAAACAAATCTATACATTTGAATTACAGAGCTGTGGCCAAAATGTTGCATTTGAGTTTAAAATTTTGACCTTTAATGGAAGTGACCTCATAAAGGCCAATAGCTGGAATTTGTCAGGACACCATGTGTGTAGAAGGACCAAATAGACGCCCATGAAGATATAACAAAAAGATACAAAGATATAACATAGAATAAAACAATAAGTACATAACCCTTCAATTGGATTGTAGGTTGTCAGGTTACAGTGACAGATGGGTGGAATTGTATTTAGTGTGCAGACTGTGTTTCATAGAAGATCAGGCAACTTGATTGACAGACACTCCATGTATGATGACAATTCACAATAAAGTTTGAGGCCTGTGCAAATTACTTGAGTTTCCTGGGAAAAACAACAAAACGGGAGGGCGCCGAGAGATGGCCTTAAATTATGGGAGAAACTCGAGAAAGAGGGGCAGGTGTGCTTTATATCTTCAGTGACACACACACACACACACACACACACACACACACACACACACACACACACACACACACACACACACCCTCTTTTTAAAATGTTAATAATGTATGTTCAATATTCCTATTTTCAATGCCATCATTAATTGCTGTAGAGCCTCACAGAAGAAGAAGAAGAACCACCAGAAGAAAGAAGTGAAAAATATAGTAAGTATCAGGAAGAATATGTTGTATTTAAACCTTTATGAAGTCATTTTTTATACCAAAATGTTTTGTGCTGGTCAGGGGGCACTTGGCTGAAAATATATTTGAAAGGGCGTACATTGAAGTTTGAGAACCACTGGTCTAGACGTTGGATTAACTGGGTTCACAAAAAGCAGACCTCCCGGAAGCACATTCTTTGGCTTGCAGTGACCTCCCTCAATATATTCCAAAATCGCTGCAAAATGTTAGGCAAACGCGCCATTAAATTCATGGGGGTCAAATTGTAACACAGAAGAAACATTTGCACTGTGTAAATTCCACATTTTTATATTTCAAGGTTTTCGGTGCTGCTGGTAAACACTAAGCAGGTGGTAGGTGCAACATCTTGTTCAAGGACAGTTCGATATGACGCTGCTGAGACAAATCTATTGTGAGTGTTGAACTTCTCTCGGCCACGTGATCACTTTCCTCGCCACCGCTGCTTTTTTACTATTTTTCCTCATGAAGTACGTTCCTATCTTTAGTGCTCAGTAATAATTGCTTTGGTGTTTCTGCCCCGCACTCTTTAGAGATCAGTCAAATTATGTGAATGATCCTCTTGGCGTCTGTGTCCTTGATGAAGTTTGAGATTCTGTAGGTGGTTCTCTTATCATTGTCAGTTCAGCTGTGTTTATCTTCTGCTTATTCGAAATTAACTGCTGTCGCTGCTGATTAACAAGTAAAATGTGTCATGCCCTCCTGTGCAGGTGAGGATTTGTTCTTAAGACGTAGCTGATGTGATTGTTAGAGAAAATTAAAATGGTTTCATGAGCTAGAACCTGGTTGAATCATTGTTTGGCTACATGGCTGGAACCAAAATTTTAGAAAATATAAGTCCAAGGGGCCCCCAACAATTCCCTTACCCCAGGAGTTCAAACCATTTTGACCCGTGCTCACAAAAAGTCATATATTTTATTAATTTGGATTTTTAGCCATGCTAGTGGCAAGGTATTCGGGATGTAACTGTATCATCAGGCTAGTGTGGCAAGACTTTGAAATATTCAGATTCTTGGCTTAGAAACTGCAATTGAAAAGATCCTTAAAACTCAAAATATTTAACCAGTTATAAAATGTAAACTGCACTTACTCTTACACAGAACCATCTGGGAATTGTCTTTGAAAACTGTTTAGAAAAAGGGAGGCACTCTTTGGCAGGTGATTGGATGAACCATCCGTCTACCACCATTATTGGATTATTATTATATATTATTGGATAAGTAAATATGACAGACTCCAAATACACAACTATCCTTTGCAACCACACCAAAGCCAAACTCAACAAGAAACCAATTAGCAAAACATCCTTACTGTGAAATGTGTGTTTAAAGCCCGAAGTGCACAAAGTAGTTGGGCTTTTAGTTTGGGTAGCCCAACAAACTGTCTCTCACACACAGCCATTGGGGTTGTGGGGAGGTGAAATTACAAAAAATGCAATTTGTTGTAATAAGGGAGTGGAGGAGCACAGAAGGGAAATGGCACATTATCACTGATACACAGCTCGGCAGCTCTCAGCCGTCAGAGCTGTCAACACATCACTATTACCCTGCATTATTCATTAGCCATTTGCCACTCTAACGGTAGGCACACACTCTCACACAAAAATACAGGCACACAGATATATTCACACACACACAAACACACACACCACATCCCCAGTCGAGTGCTGAATGTCCTGGAGCAAAAAAGCTTGCTAGAATAAATAATAGTGGGTGGGATCTTCTGACCTGATAACTAACATTTCAAAGCAGATGTCTGGGAGTGGAG